CAGGGAGAAAAATGTAACAATGAATGAATGGAAATCCAAAATCTCTGTAAATGTTCATTAAAATTCATAAAATAAAAAAAAACAAAAACCAAACACGACTCCAGGCACACTCTGTTGCTCACAATCAGTAGCCAAGTATCTGCAATGTTGTATTTCCTACTGTTCCCCTACATTCTTAGTGACTCCAACCAAGTTCTACACTACTCTTAAGTTCAAAAACAAGGCTAGTGTGTCAAGCACCTTTAGCGTTGTTGTAAGGTGCTGTCAAACTGAATACGACTCATGAACTACTCTATGAACAACAAATCTGAACACTGTCCTATCCTATGCCATCCTCATTATTTCTGACGTTTCATCTTAGAAAAGTTCAAATCCTTAGATAATGGGAAAATTCTTAATTTTCTGCATTAACTCAATATTAACTTGGCTTTAAGAATCATTCAGACACCGGCCGTTGCTACTACCGATTGGATGGTTTAGTGAGGCCCTCAGATCGGCCCCGCTGGGGTCGGCCCACTGCCCTGGAGGAGCACTGAGAAGACAGTCGAACTTGACTATCTAGAGGAAGTAAAAGTCGTAACAAGGTTTCTGTAGGTGAACCTGCGGAAGGATTATTAACAAAAGCCGGACAGGCCCGAGCCCAGGTGCCAAGACCAAGCCGAGCCAGTTGACTCCTCTCTCATTATCTATCTATGTATCTATCTATCTATCTATCTATCTATAAAAAGAATCATTCAGATAAGAAAGATACAAGAATATGATCACATCTCATCAGAAATCTATCAGGCAGATAGTAATCTTTAAATTAATCGTTAGGAAGATTTGATTGCTACTTGTGAATGCTACCATCTAAGAGTAAGTGTAGTTCAAAAAAATTTGGCTGGATACTCTTAACTTGCAATTAGACTAACAGTACATTTTTGCACACAAAAAAATTTCATGCTTTAAATAAATACTTCTGCTGTGACCTGGTTTTGTATATTAGAGGTAGAGGAGTATAAACTAGTAGATTTAAGTCAAATTCAAAGTTTAAGTCATCTTAGACATCTTTATTTCCATATGATGATAATCCTGACAGACTTCATTTCTCACATACAGAGGCAAAATTTAAAGACTAAATATTTAATTACGGTAGTTAGAAATGCACACGGATACTTCCTCAGGAAACCTAAACAATTATTTAAACTAAAGATACCATGTCAAGGCTTGTACAAGCAACGACCAAAGGAAGAGCAGAGGGAATTTTGAGGGAATTTTAAAAGAAACTAATACAGACTGTAGGTCTTCTGGCCTATTAAGGGGTGGCAGGATTCCCTAATGCTGACACTGTTTAGAATGGGCTGTGTAAATCACATAAAGAAGTCTGCCATCTGAAAAAAGTGTTACGTTCTTTCAGCAATGCTTTATGCATATAAATGAAAAGATGCGCTCTACTGTTTTCAGTGCTATTCTGCCCTGACCCCAGACTATTCTGAGAAAACAAAGAAATGTAAAAATTTCTGCAGGCCATCATAAAAGGAAGTATCAGGGAGTGGTACCTTTCTATTATCCAAGTATCTTCCATCATTCTACATCACAAGAGTAAAGGAGCAAGGGAGTACTTAACATGAAGCATTCGTTTGCATCTGTAGCACCATCAGGGTGACAGTAATCTATGAGCACAGTCCTTTGACAAATATCCAGTAGTCAACAGAAGTGCAAAGCTCTCCTTTCGATTCTCTTTGCACTGTTCAGAAAGTGCCCATAAGCCGCTAATCATGTCTTTATGTTCAGGATCAGGCTATAGGTCATGTCGAAGTCCCACATGGAGTAATTAGTACCACAAGAGCTAGGAAACTAAAAACAGACTTAAAATACATTCTTCTACATGTTCCTTAAGGGTAATGCCACAGCGGACAATAGACATGATCTATTAAACATTCACACTTATCAGGAAAAAATATCAGATTCCATAATAGAATAAGAGAGGATTTTATAATGGCTGGAAACCTCAAGTACTTCAGAGTGAAATATTAACTTTATAATTAAAATACAAACTGTTAACTCATGAGTTACCTCCTTGTCTAGCATAAAGACTTCCTCCAAAGTAACCATTCACTGGAGATGTAGCAGCATAAACAAATATGGCTGTACTAAGCATTGATCCCCTCCTAGAAGATAAAACAACATATATGGTCAACTAACGCCAACAAATTAAAAAACATTACATGTTTACCTGCACTAACATTGGTTTAATTCTGAAGAGCAACTTAACAGAAACACAAAGTATGATAATCCTGGACTGCAAAGGCCCTCAAAGATTGCTCAGAGTGAATTTCTACATGAAATTCATTTACATGATAGCACACTGATTTTTTTTATTTTGACATTAAATTTCCTAATATATTCTAAATAGTATTTCACATTTCTTTGGCAAAAATAACAGAAGCTGGCACTAAAACTGTTTTGCCACTCTAAAAAATCAATCACATCATATGGAACAGGATATCATCTTTGGTGAAAAAAGACAAGATTATTCCTCTTAATTTGATTCACCTGTTAAAAGACTTTTGCCTGCTAATGGTAATAAAATGGATATAGCAAACTTTATACTAGTTACTATTATTTCAAATGTTAGAATGCTGAGATTCCCCATTTCCCTGATAATGTGAAAAATTATTTTTAAAAAAAATCTGAAGAACCTACAGGTTCACAAACCATGATTGGCTCAGAACTAGCAATTCCTAACATCGTCTTCCAGTAATTCAAATCAACCTTTCTGCTGAATAAAATTAGAGTCTCTCTTCAAAAAAAAAAAAGTTTAATTGCAAAGAGAAATATTAAAATGATAAATTACAGTATCACACCACCATACCATACCACACACTACTAACAACAAAACCTGTACAACTCATCATAATTAGGAAAGTCAAATAATGCCTATAGTAGAAACTATATGTAACCATTGTTAGAGAATTTATAAGAACATCAGCACTAATGTGTGTGCTGCATGATATAGTATACTCATAAGCCAATCATCTTCTGACCAACAATCTAATTACAGCCCATCGTCACAGACTACAATCAGTTAGCTCCTTTGCCTAAATGCCTATGTCAATTTGGCTAAAATAGAGTAACTGTTTAATAATTGTTTAAAATGCTACAATATTTAATTTCCACTAATAGACACTGAAACAAAGATGTGGTCATTGTAGAAGAAATTTGTCACTCTCATATTTAAAATACTGTGTCAAGCAGTTTTAAAAAACCTTTTTTTTTTTTCTCATTAAACTTGTTTTAATGGGTCTCAAAATTCTGTGACAAATTTTTGGTCAAGTTGTTTCCATTTAAAAAGTACTGATTTTAAAAACTAATAACTTAAAACTGCCACACGAAAAAGAAAACAAATGGTCCACAAAACATTCCTTTCCTTCTGAAGGTTTTACGATGCACTGTTATCATTAACCAGTCTTTTACTATTAAACTTAAACGGCCAATTAAGACAAACAGTTCTGAGACCGTTCTTCCACCACTGATTAAGACTGGGGTGGCAGGTGTTATAGGTAATATTCATTTAGCCTTCTGAGCTTTCTGAGCAGACTTGGTGACCTTGTCAGCTCCAGCAGCCTTCTTGTCCACTGCTTTGATGACACCCACAGCAACAGTCAGCCTCATGTCTCGTACAGCAAAACGACCCAGAAGAGGGTAGTCAGAGAAATTCTCCACACACATGGGCTTGCCAGGAACCATATCCACAATGGCAGCATCACCAGACTTCAGGAATTTGGGGCCATCTTCCAGCTTCTTACCAGAACGGCGATCAATCTTCTCTTTGAGCTCAGCAAACTTGCAAGCAATGCGAGCTGTGTGACAATCCAGCACAGATGCATAACCAGCACTGATTTGGCCAGGATGGTTTAAGATGATCACCTGAGCAGTGAAGCCAGCTACTTCCATGGGTGGGTCATTTTTGCTGTCACCAGCCACGTTGCCACGTCGAACATCTTTCACAGAGACGTTCTTAATATTGAAGCCAACACTGTCACCAGGAAGAGCTTCACTCAAAGCTTCATGGTGCATTTCAACAGACTTTACTTCAGTGGTAACGTTGACTGGGGCAAATGTGACCACCATGCCAGGCTTGAGAACACCAGTCTCCACTCTGCCCACAGGGACAGTACCAATACCACCAATATTGTAGACATCTTGGAGAGGCAGACGCAGGGGCTTATCAGTTGGACGAGTTGGTGGCAGGATGCAATCCAAAGCTTCAAGCAGTGTAGTCCCACCGGCACTGCCATCTTTCTGGGTGACTTTCCATCCCTTAAACCAAGGCATATTAGCACTTGGCTCCAGCATGTTGTCACCATTCCAACCAGAAATTGGCACAAAGGCTACTGTGTCAGGGTTGTAGCCAATTTTCTTGATGTAGGTGTTAACTTCCTTAACGATTTCCTCATATCTCTTCTGGCTGTAGGGTGGCTCGGTGGAATCCATTTTGTTAACACCAACAATCAGTTGCTTCACACCCAGTGTGCAAGCCAGAAGGGCATGCTCACGGGTCTGCCCATTCTTTGAAATACCAGCCTCAAATTCACCAACACCAGCAGCAACAATCAGGACAGCACAATCAGCCTGTGATGTTCCTGTAATCATGTTTTTGATAAAGTCTCTGTGTCCTGGGGCATCAATGACGGTCACATAGTACTTGCTGGTCTCAAATTTCCACAGGGAGATATCAATGGTGATGCCACATTCACGTTCAGCTTTCAGTTTATCCAAGACCCAGGCATATTTGAAGGAGCCCTTTCCCATCTCCGCAGCTTCCTTCTTGAATTTCTCAATGGTTCTCTTGTCGATCCCACCACATTTGTAGATCAGATGGCCAGTCGTGGTGGACTTGCCCGAATCTACGTGTCCAATGACGATGATGTTGATATGGGTCTTCTCCTTTCCCATTTTGGCTTAGGTTTTGCAATGGTATTCACCAACACCTAAGCTGTACTCTGGCAACAAACCCGTTGCGAAAAAGCTAAAAAACCTATTTTTGTTTGTAAAGAACCAACTTATTCTTCAGACTATGGTTAACAAATTGGACTCATCCGCTGTTTACATATGGATGTGTAGACTCGGGTAGCCATAGTCAAGATGAAGATGTAAAAGATTCTTTCAGTAGAAGACCAGTCTGACACCAAGCAGAACTTCCTAATACTGGCAGAAAGGATTCAAGAAGGCTGCTCGTGCAGATAAGAGTATCAATGACTTAACACGCCTGGTAGGATCAAACGCATGCATTTCCGTTGACCACTCCCAGAGATATTTCCACTAAATGGGAATGTGAGCTGCCATCAAAGCTTTAAGTATCAGACATGTCCTTCGTTTGTTCTTAATGTATTGGTAACTTCCTTGTCCCCAAAATTCATCATTTTCATCTACCCTGAATAAACTGCAGAGGCAGAGAACTGTCCTTCATCATCAATGCAAGACAGACAAGCTCTTGAGGAGCTGCTCCACTCACCCCACCTGGCCCTCACCACCACAGTTTCAGAACAGCAGCCGCATTTTCATCAGGCTCATCCTTTCCCCTTCAGGCTCTGGGCCTCCTGAAGCTAACAGCACACTAGAGCAGATCTTCACGTTAATGACAATCCCCCACCTACACCCTCAAAGTCATTTCTTCTTCTCTGATTACTATGGTAATCACACAGGCAAAGGAATTTTTACATGCCATATTATCTGTTCTTTATCCTCTAAAATTATGTTTCTCCTGGGGTCACCAAAATTTTAGGTGCAATTTTTAAAATTCATTTTTATTATCATCTTGTGTTTCTATTAAGTCTATTTTCCACAGCCCAGCAAATTGAGAGGTGTTTTAGAGTAAGAATGTCTACGTTCAAATCTCAGTTCTACCTCATACTACTCGGAGCCGTGTGATTTATAGTCAAGGTAATCGCTCTGACCTTTACTTGCCCACACAGAAAATGGCAGGAAAAGTACGTGTAGAGTTGATGTGAGAACTAAATGAGCAAAACAAGCAAAAAGCACCTAGCATGGGATTCAATATTAACTCATTAACTCACAGCCATCGAACTGGATATGATTACATCTAACCCTCCAGTGGGTTTTCAGAGGCTGTAAAAAAGGAAAGGAATGTCTTTCTTTCAGAGCTGCTGATGGATTCAAACTGCTCAACTCTGGGTTGGCAGGGCAATTCTATCCACTAGGACACTAGTCACCTTTATATAATAATATATACATACTGTTGTTGTTGTGAGGTGTTACTGGGTCGAGTAAGACTCATAGTTGCCCTGTGAACAACAGACTTTAATTCTATGCTGTGCCACCCTCATCATCTCTTGGCACACTTGAGCCCACTCCTGTAGTCAGTGTGTCAATTCATCTCATTGAAGATCTTCCTCCCTTTTGCTGACTCTCCACTTTTCTAATGATGGCACAGCCCTAGTCATGCTGAAAACAGAAAAGAGTCTTTCAGTGCAAGATCAGTCTGACACCAAGCAGAATTTCCTAATATTGGCAGAAAGGATTCGAGAAGGCTGTTCATGTAGCTAAGAGAATGACTTCTAATAACTGGTAGTAGTCTTTCATGATGTCCCTTTCCAAAGAATACCCTCTCTTAGCAATATTCCCAAAGTATGTGAGACAAAGCTGTGTCATCTTTGTGTCCAAGGAGCATCCAGGCAGTACTTTCTCAAAGACGTATCTGTTCTTTTGGCAGTCCATGGGATATTCCGTTCTCCTCTTCAACATCACAGCTCAAAGCCATCAATTCTTCTTCTGCCATTCTTATTCACTGTCCAGCTCTCAGATGCTTAACAAGTGAATGGAAAAAGACCATGGCCTGCATCAGGAAAACCTTAGTCTTCAAACTGACTTCATTGTTCCTCAAAAATTTGGAGAGGTCCCTGACAGCAGACTCACCCAATGTAATACGTCTCCTGATCTCTCCTGAATGTTGGTATCAAGAGTGTTGTTTATGGATCTCACTTAGATAAAGTCATTGACAATTGCAATCTATGAAATTTCAATTTATCTGTCTCCTGATCTCTCCTGAATGTTGGTATCAAGAGTGTTGTTTATGGATCTCACTTAGATGAAGTCATTGACAATTGCAATCTTGAAATTTCAATTTCTCTATCATGATGCTGTTTATCAGTCTAGTGACGATGATTTTCATCTTCTTGATGTTGAGATCCAATCTATATTGAAGGTTGTAGTCTTTTCTGCAGGAAGCACAAGGCCTCCTCACTTACAGTAAGCAAGGCTGTGGCACCTGCATTATTATTGATGAATATTCCTCCGATCCTGATGCCAAATGCTTCTTTGTAGAGTCCAGTATCAAATAAGTTGCTCAGGATAAAGTTGGAATAGGTATGGAGACAGGATACAGCCCTGATTTAAACCTTTCCTGATTTTAAGTCATGCAGTGTTCCTTTGTCTAGACAACCACTTCTCGGTCCAAGTACAGGTTTGTATGAGAATAAATTAAGTATTCTGGGATTCTTGTCCTTCTCAATGTCAGTCATAGTTTGTTAAGATCTACACAATCAAATGCCTTTCTGTAGTCCGTAAGAAACAAATAGACATTCTTCTGGTGTTACTGTCAAGCTGGAATTCAGAGCTGTGAAGCATTGGTGGAGTCTACTCATGTGCCCTGGGGTTAGAAGAGTAGCTCCTTATTAGGCCACCAAAGTAATTAGTTATGTTTTATTTTAAGTAAGAACAGGACAGGCCAACAAGCTACAGTAATAATAGATTAAAACAGTGGAAAAGACTTGTCTGCTAATTAAAGAGCAGCTTCACATTTAGAAAACTAAGTTTTAAGTAGAAAAGCTTCTGCTTTAAAAACTAAACCACAAAGATACAACAAAAGAGCCCCAAGTAACCTAAATTATAACACCAATATTTTGGGAAGGAACAAAGTAAAACTTGGATGCTAAGAGGTTACCCTCTAGTGGCCTGTAAGACTATGACAGCCAGTGAAGATCTGGTAAGGATGAATTTAATCCACTATTTAATAGTAAACACTACTTATTCTTTACAGATTTTTTTGGCTCTTTACATTTTGGTGAGTTATTTTGGCTCTTCTGTGACAAGTCAACTGTAAAGGTCATATCATATAGAAATTAGAGAAATTGCTTTACCTGCTACTATATAGTCAGTTCATTCCAAAAAGCACAAAATTCCTTCTATATGAAAAACTTTAAAGTAGGTACTTTATAAATTCTACTAAATTAAGACACAGTTCATACTCTCAAGAAACTTACTGTCTAGTGGTAGAAAGCAATTTACTGTACTGCTATATATTAAATATACAACTGAAGAGCTACTTTTTCAACAAGTTAATCGTTCCTCTTTTAAATGCTATATAGATTTAAGGAAGAATGTATAATGGACTGAAGTAATTGGAGGAAAGATGGAGTAGCTCATGGGGTGGCATCTAAAGGGCCTGACTTATAGCTACTGCCATCCAGGCTCAGAGTGTGCTTGTTCTCATGACTACAACGTTATGAGACCACTCACCTGGGTCGTGAGAACTCTGTGAATGTATAACCGTTTCCTATAATCCAAAAGACCGCAAATCAAGAATTTCCTGCAAATGGGTTTGCCAGCAAAAAAAAAGCAATGTACCAGGAATCATGTAAAGACAGTATAATAGCTTAGGATTTTTTTTTCTCTAAATTTTCCAGGAATTTTTTAATTTCATGTGACTTTTCTATCACTCTTTTTTACACTTAACAATATTTTTTCCTATTCTAGAAAATGTCTCCTGGTTTAAGGTGCTAGTTCAGTAATTGCAAAAGCACTGTATGTCTTATGAAGAGTTACCAGATGAGATATATAGATAAATAGACAAGACAGATAGATACAGATGTATCTATGTGTATATAATGCCTATTCACTTTGTTAAACAGCTATGGAATGAAACATATCACTCATTTCTCTAGTAGAACACAGTTGTTGTTTTTAACTGATCAACAGTAATGCAGTAACTTTTAGCATGTAACAGAAAAAACAAAATTATACCTAAAGTTCATTATTTAATTTGTCAAAAATAATGATTTGCTATATAAATTCTCGGGCAATGAATAGTTATTTAATTATAACTAAAAAGCCTTTCATGATTCAAGGCATTTTAAAAGTCATTAATTTAAGAACAAACACTTACTCTGTGTATAAGTCTTCTATCATTGCAACAATAATAACAATGAGAGATACAGCAAATATCTGACACCCAGAACCAATGAGAGAGGAAAATATCAGGGGATGACTTGAGGGTCTGAACACATCTCCATGCACCTGCTTCCATCCATACTCATCTCCGAGGTCTCTGTCCTATGTATTCACACACAAAGAAAAAAATGATTCAGAATCAAATTAAAATATAGATGATAGGTGGAAAATTAAAATTACAAGTTCCCTTCCTCCCTCTAAATTTAAGTTATATAAAGGGGTTACAAAGTATATATAAAAAAAGACATTTCCATTTAAAGCAATCATAGTCATAGTGCTGTGGTATTTACCAAGGCCTAGGAGAGTGGATCACAGTTATGCCTCCCAAAATTCAAAGAAAAGGAAGAGAAATTATTTGGAAACAAGAAGAAATGGTCAAAGTAGAAGAACTCTGTACCAACTCTCTTAACATTACTTTCAGTTTTACATCAAGCTAGGTCAGGTGGAAAGAGGAAAAGCAGTATTGTTACCAGAAGTACATGCCTTGAACAATGTAAAAACACCCTTTATACTTAAGAGTTTAAGAAAACATCTGGGGAAAACATCCAAAATGGATGTTTAAATTTAACTATGTTGTTGTTGATTACCTTCGTATCAAGCACAACTCAGAGCAACCCTATGAACAAAAGGCCTGAAGCCCCTACAACTAAAGGCATTTATCAAAGTTCATAGAATTTCCGGAGGCATGTTATTTATAGCCTTTTAAATAAGAATATCATTTTCACTTCTCAGTTTAAAATATTATTTAAGAAACTACAGCCCCTCAAAATAATCTTTTAAAGGAAAATCCTAATCAGGAATGTTGGAGAAACATCAAACATTTTACTTACACTTCTGATGCTTCTCAGTACACAAGGGTGTATCAAATTTAATCCCATTTCTTGAATCACTGTTTTTTATATATATGTATGTTAGTGCAAAATGTTCACTCACCATGTCATCCATCTCTTCTTCTTTACTGTACCGGGCATAATCTTTTCTCAAAGTTCTCATTAGAATCATTGACACTAAGCCCACCAAGAAGATAACCATCATGAAGGAGTTGAAAATTGAAAACCAATGAATCTAAAATAAAAAATAATGTTACCAGTCACAAAATTCATAGATTTTAGTGTCATGTTAAAGTCAAAGGGGTCTTTTATGATATTTTACATGAAACCCCAAATTTAAGACAAACTGGGAATGAGTATTAAGACTATGCAGAAGCACTGGTTTGCTTTTATTTAGTTTGTGGGTCGTTTTTTTTATTCATTGTTGCACATTTTCTCTCCCACCCAGCAGTACACCCCTTGTTCCAGACTATTCTCATACACAGAACACATAATTATATATTCTTCTGGGACAGTTATAATCTGTTCTAATGCAGTATTCATCATCTATCCACTTTCTTCATTCACTCCTCAATTACTCCCCCAACATCTGTCCTATATTCTAACAGTGGTGTTATGGAGTATTTGTCCTTTTGTGACAGAGATATTCACTTAGCATTACGTCCTCAAGGCTCCCGCATGTTGTGTAATGTTCTTCAGTGCTGTGTAGTACTCCACTGTGTGGCTATATTACAGTTTTTCTATTCATTCATTGATGGGTACTTTGATTGCTTCCATGTCTTTGCTATTTTGAGTAACACAGCAATAAACATGGGTGTACAAACGTGTTTGACTCGCAGCTCTGGTTTCTTTAGAGTATATTCCCAGTAGCAGAACTGCTAGGTCAAATGGTATTTCAATTTCCAACTTTTTGAGACTGCCTTCCATAGTGATACCATTTTACATTCCCACCAGCAGCAAATAAGTTTCAATCTCTCCACAACCCCTGTAGCATTTGTTGTTTGCTGTTCTGCTTTACTTCGCTATTGTTGCTGGGGTGAGATGGTATCTCACAGTTGTATTGGGATTGGCTTTCTTTATAGTAAGTTTCAGATTCATAGCATCATTTGTGGAGATTTTCAGAATCAACTTTCTTATTCTTCTGATATTATAAAGCACAAGTTGGTACACGCTTAACAGCATTACGAGGGAAAGAAGATGGTGTAAAAAAGGCAAGGATTTAACCTAGTCTTTCCCAATTTCTAGCTCTGCAATTTTTGCTTTCTCACCTTAAAAATTAAGGAATCTTATTTTTGTGGAGTTTATCAATATGTACACAAAGTCCAGCATTGTACCAAGCACAGAGCAACAATGTTGGTGCTGTACAGAGTCAATATGAGCAACAGACACCTATTAAGTGTTAGATTCCCTCACTAAAATGAGCAACAACCTAAAAATATCTTTAAAATATCAGGACCACACCGTCATCGTAGACCTCCACAGACTTAGGCTACCTTTACTAAATGACTTGCTCTCAGCTCATCCTACCTTACTATTATTACTCACTCTGTTCCACATTAGCTACCAGTAGTACATGGTAAACTGAGGTGCCACTTAGTTCCTCAATGTTCCCAAGGTGCTAGCTCTATCTCGCCCCTACTTTAGTCATAAAAATATGTCCAGATTACAGTTTCAGTTTATAATCACAAAGTACTACTGTACCCCTGAAGTCTTGAACTCAGTATATCTGTCTGATGTGAATTAGGTCTGTGATATTGTCTAATAATTCCTTTATTTATATTTTAATTCCCAAAAATTCTTTAACTCTCTGAGATCTAGATTCCATCTTGCTACCCATAATCATCTGCAACATGATCTTCTGCATTTATCCTGTTTTTGTGCCATCACAGTGACCCTATGTACAACAGCTCTGAATTCTGCTCTCTCCTGAGCCAACCTTATTGTCTCTGACACACCTTCCCCCATTACCCCAGTTACTAAGTCAATCTTATCTCACTGAGTGTCTTCCTCCCGTACTAGCATTTTCCTTCCATCTTGTCAATCCCCTAAAAGGTGTTTTCCCCTCTACAATGAACTTTCCCACTATGCTTCTGATCTCATTACATATTGAAATTATTTCTTTTGCTTTCATTTTGGATCTCTAGCCCTCTTTCTCCCACATCTGTGGACTAAGACTTTATTTTTGATTAAGACTTTATTTTTCCTGCAAAATGTCTCCTATATCTATCTCTTCCTCTCTGTCTCATGCTATCACCTTGTACCATGACAGCTTCGATGGTTTCCTAGTTAGCTCTTTTGTCTCTCCCTCTTTCAATCTATCCATAAAAGTTTTCAATCTATCCATAAAAGTTATAAAATAAACGTTCCTGAAATATCAACCTCAATGTATCACTCTTCTGGTCTAATTCTTGTAGGATATCTTATTTCTACCTCTTATATCAAACTAATCCGTTCTCCTTATCTCCTTACTATTCTATATCCCTTAAAATCTTACACCTCACTTCATTTAGCTAACTCTTCTTTAATTATACCCTATATATATTGAGAATAAGGGAGCTCTGGTAGCATAGTTCCTACGGAGTTACCGTAGAACGTCTCTCTCTCTCTCTCTCTCTGGCAGTTTTAATCCATCAGAGGATCCACAGAAGATGGGTAATCTCCTCTCCTCCTGTGCCAAGTACAGCCTAAAAAAACCCACTGGAAGGTCAGCTATGAGCGGGTTCTGACTCAAAAGAAATGAGTGAGAGATATTCAGTACAAGTTTAAATTCAAAGGCACCTGGTTTGTGTAAACAGTAGTCTGAAAGTGAATTTAACCAATTTAAAGTCTTGACATAGCCTAGAATCTGTGTTGACTGTTAAAGCTGTCCTTCCTAACAGCAATTCCTCTAACACTAATGCTAACCTAACCTTACAACTAAACTCACTGCAGTGGAGTAGGAACCAACTCACAGATGACCCTTCAGCAGCTTTCTGAGGCTGTAAATCACACGGGAGGGTACTGTCCATCTTTTTTCCTCGAGGCTGCTGGTGGATTCAAAATGCCAGAGAAGCATGGTCTTTGGGTCACAGCACAACCTCCATGGATTATGCCACGAAAGCTTCCTTACCACCTTAATGCTAACCTAACTATACATGCTAAAGGAGATAATTCTTTTTCTTTGAAGTCTGGAAGGTGAAAGAAACCACCAAAATAAGTCTATTTTTGTTATCAAAGTTGCATGTCAAAAACCAGCACCAATGTTACTGGATTTGTGGCCTGTGACCCAGTTCGCATCAAGTGATTGTAAATTTGAAGCATTTGGACCCACACTTGATGTTCTTTCCTATATGGAGGGATCTCTATGAATAAAGTCTTGTTTCTTCTTATATTTTCATTTATTGCTTCCTAGAGGACGTTTACATTCTGTTGTTTCATCACATCATAAACTTTATAGGGAAAGTGTCTAGGCTGGAAACCCTTACAGTATTTCCACACTGACAGAGTAGGTTGTCTTTAAATGTGAATTTCAGTATGAAGAAGTCCACTTGACCAGACATAAGCCACATTCTCCAACACTGGCCTCACTGGTAATAAAAGTTATATTTAAAAGCTATGTTGTTGTTACGTGCCGTCGAGTCGCCTGCAACTCATAGCGACCCTATGTACAACAGCCCTAAACTCCGCTCTGTCCTGTGCCAATCGCACTGTCTCCGACACTCCCATCCCAATTATCCCAGTCACTGAATCAATCCACCTCATAGAGGGCCTTCCTCTCCTGCGCTGTCCCTCCATCCTCCCAAGCATGATGTCCCTCTCTAAGGACCAGTCTCTCCTCACAACATGTCCAAAGTATGTTAGACGGAGCCTCAGAATCCTTGCCTCCAAGGAGCCACCTGGTTTAACCCTTGAGTGTTATGGTTATGACAAGAGTCCAGAATGAAGGTTGCAAAGTGGAGTGTACTCGGGGGGGTGGGGGTGGGGGACTGTATACCAAAGAAAGAATTTTACTTTTACTTTTCAAAGAGATGAGTGAACCTGGGGGAAGGGGTGGGCAGGGAGAAAAGTGCAACAATGAATGAACGGAAGTCCAAAATTTCTGTAAAGGTTCATTAAAAGTAATTAAAAAAATAAAAAGGAAAAAAATGGTATTTCAGCTTCCAATGTGCTGTATTTTTACTTGTTATCTCTTAACTGGTTTAAGTCACAAGGATGAAGAAGAGAGCTTTTCACGGCTCATCAAAACGCCAAGGATCTTTATGACCCTGAGCTTCCACCTGAAATCATACTAGCTAAATAGTCATTAACATAGTGCTTGCTATGGTAGATGGTCAATGTTTGTTAAACTGATTTGTGCACAAACTGAATGTCTTAAAATACATTAATTATTTACCCACCCTATGCTGAAAAAAAGATGGATCGAGATATTTGTCAAATCTATCTTCAAATTTCACATCTGACTTTTTCCATTTTACCTGGGGGAAAAAAACATTTGCAATTAATAATCTGATGACTAAACTACCTCAACAGGAAATTTAGACAGATTTACACACAAAAGAAAAACTATGGAAAGTTAGTAATTTGGGAAATTGAAATAGGTGTGATAAAAAGAGGGGGGAAAAAGCCAACCAATAATTTTCCTCTCTTTGTAAACAACTTTGCTCTCTACATATTATTAACAAAATAAACATACTTTGAAAACTTATCAAAATTGGCTACTGGCAATGCATTTCAGTTATCAGGAAAAATACTGGCCATCTCGCTTCTTTCCAATATATTTAATCCTAATAGAAGTAACCTGACAGTTGCCAAAGGTCTCTGACAAGTTTACTCTGCAGGAATATCTTAGTCCAATGAACAGAGCAAAATACAATAAACAACACTCATCAGGTAAAATGTAATAAATCGCACCCATCTGGTAACAATTCAACTACAGCATCATCACTATCTGCAATAGCAGAAAAGACTTAGAACATGAAATATTTATATCTAAAAAATGTTATCATTTTTTAAAAAAGTGATCATTAAAATACATGGTTGAGTTTGCTAAACTGTCCAGTTATTAACAGGATACAAAGCTGACGCAAATAGTAGGTTCTCCAAATGTATAAACAGTGTCTAGTACTACAGACAATGAATCGCCATAAATTGGGGATGCTCACTTAAGATGAGGAAATGAAGAGTCCTAAAAATAATCTGCTGCATCCCATTTCAAGTTACAATTTCATTTACTAAACTTCTAAAACACACATTTTATTGTTGACATAAAGGCCTCAAAATTTCTTCTGAAAACAAAATATCTGAACACTTACTGAATATGACATCTGGATCTTGGTATTTGGAACCAGTTTGACCTTTCCTTCACTAGTTAGATTAACATCAACAATTCTATTTCCATTAAAACCTATTTCAAGTTTTTTGTAAGTCCAAAGATAATAATCTTCTCCATTTTCATCTGCTTCACCAACAATACCTACAAAAGAAATATATTACAAAAAACAGTATCATTTCATGAACTTTGGTGGTCTGGTAGTAAGAAGCTGCCCTGAAATCTCAAAGGCACAGCGTTCGAATCCACAAGCTGCTTTGAGGGAGAAGGACATCAAAACAACATACAAGCTAAAAGATCATCAAACTTGTTTTTTCTTTTCATTTTTATTCACTCATTGTTGCACATTTCTTTACTCCCTCTTCCTCTTATACCCTTCTCCCAGCCTACTTTGCAATACACCTGTTTCAGATTGTTGTAATACATATAATCATGTATTTCTTTTAAACAGTACTTTCTTTCATCTGTTCCAATGCAATGTTCATTATCTAGCCATTCTTTTCTTAACCCTCCTCCAATCCCCCATGTCAGTACCGTTTTACAACAGTGGCACTATGCAGTATTTGTCCTTTTGTGACTGAAATATTTCACTCAGCATAATGTCCTCCACGCTCACTCAGGTTGTGCAATGTTTTAAAGTTTAAAGGTTCATTGTTTTTCAATGCTGCATAATATTCAATTGTGTGAATGTACCATAGTTTTTCTACCATTCATTTATTGATGGGCACTTCATCTCTTTGCTATTTTAAATAACACAGTAATAAACATGGGTGTGCAAAGACCTGTTTAATTGCAGCTCTAGTTTCTTTAGGGTATACTCCCAGCAATGGAACTGCTGGATCAAACGCTAATTCTATTTCCAACTTTTTGAGAAAGTGCCAGACCACCTTCCATTGTGGTTACACCATTTTACATTCCCACCAGCTGTGAATAAGTACCAATCTCTCTACAACCCTGCTGTCCTGTTGAAGTTTGCTATTTTTGCTGGGGTGAGATGGTATCTCATAGTTGTTTTGAAGTACATCTGACAGTTAAGGATTTCTAACATTTCTTCATTGTTTGTTGGCCATCTGAATGTATTCTTTGGTGACATGTCTATTCATACTCTGTGCCCATTCTGTGATTAGGTTCTCTTTTTCTTATGGAGATGCTGGCATAGTCTAAAAATTTTAGATATAGGTCGCTTATCAGATATGCCACTGCCAAATATTTTTTTTTCTCAATCTGTGGGTTTCCTTTTTATCCTGCTGGAGAAGTTTTTTGATGTGCACAGGGATTTAATTCTTAGAAGGTCTCATTTATCTATTTCATTCTTTCCTGGTTATAGGTTTTTTCATTATCTTGGAAATCTGTTCATGTTGTGGATTTGGGCTTCTAGACTAGTTACTAGACTTTCTCTGATGAATTTCATAGTCTTTGGTTTTACTCCTAAGTCCCTGATCGACCTTGAGTTGGGTTTTGTGTTTAGTGTGAAGTCAGAATCTTGCTTAAGTTTTCTGCAGATGGTTTTCCAATTTTGCCAACATCATGTGCTAAATAGGCTGTAATTTCCCCACTTAAGTGATTTCATCACCTTATCAAAAATCAGTTGACTATAGGTGGATGAGCTGATTTCTGGGTTCTCAATTCTATTCCACTGATCCATGTGTCTGTTACTGTACCAGTACCATGCTGTCTTGACCATTATGGCTTTGTAGTAGGATCTGATATCAGGGAGTATGACGCCTCTGACCTTGTTTCTCTTTTTCCATAGTGCTTTGCTTATTTGGAATCTCTTTCTGTTCCAGATAAAATTGGAAGTTACCTTTTCCATCTCATTGAAGAATGAAATTGGTATCTGTATTGGGACCGCATTGAACTTCTAGACTACCTCTGGTAGAATTATCATTTTCGTGGTGCTGAGTCTTCCTATCCACAAGCATGGTATATTCTCCCATTGTTCCTAGTGTCTTTTTGTTTCTTGTAGTGATGTTTTGTAATTTTCTTTGTATATGTTTTTCATTAAACTTTTTACAAATGAAAGCTCATTATTACCACTATTCTGCATGGTTAGAAAAAAGGCAAAAGTCTGGATCTCTGCTGCTTACTATGTGGGAAGTACATCAAAGTCATACCATAACGAAACAGATTAGTGGCTCACCATAATCTAGCACTAGTTTGGTTTACTAACTTGTGCTTTGTAAACAGTAGTACCACAATATAACAATGATCAGCTTATGTAAATTTAGTCCCTACCATCTCAAAATTTCAGAGAAGTACTATATCACCATGTGGCAAAGTAAGCCAGCAGAGCGTATAAAACCTTGTCTCCAGAGGTTCTCAGTATTTTCTCTGATATCCTATGATTTACTCATTCCTACTAAAGCCCACACAAGTACAAAGAAGTGTCAACATTTAAAATGCCTATTATTTACAATGCAATTCTTAGATCTGTCCCTGTAAAGTTATCAAAATCAAAAGAGAGATAAAGAGAAATGGTTAGCATGGAAAAAAATTTTATCATAATTTAAGAATATCTAAAGCAAAGCTGTATGAGATATTTAGGAATATTTGAAAGAGGTGGCAGGTGAGGATCCATTTCTTATGCTCCCATTTTATTAGTCTGCAATATTCCCCACCAAAGGGGGTGTGTGTGTGTGTGTGTGTGGGTGTGTGTGTGCGCGCGCGCACGCGTGCGCGCATATCTATATCTCCATTCCATGGGCCTTATGCTCCAAAAGTAATTCCTTAGAGCCCTTCCTCTAAGGTCAATGCATCTTACTAAAGAATGAAGCATAAAAGAGTATTTATCAGAATTAACCCAAGTGATTCTCTTAATTGGAAGAAATTCAAGAAGCATAATTTTGTTCTGCTTTGAGTTAGGGATAACAAAATCATTCTTAAGAGTTAATTTCATTAAGGTTTATTTGTCTACCTGCTCTGAAAACCAGCTGTGGGAGTGAGAACACAATTCTACCAAGAAACTATTCTCTAGGGCCCTCTAGGACTCTGAAAGCTTCACCTCAAGATAAGGCTGATTGTTTCCTTTTCCTGACAAGTATTACTCAGGGTTCAGACAATTCAGATATTCAAGGATATCCAACAGTTCTCTCACATCCCCAGCATCCTAGGGCTACAAAGGATTTAAGATATACAAACACAGTAGCCAATGCTGCTACACTAATCTCCAGCAATCACTTCTAAAAAACCTAAGGTACTAAAAGAGTGAGAGAAAAGTAACTAAAGAACCATAAGCTATAGAAAACAGGGAGGAACCTTCTCTCTCTTGAAAGAACTCAACATGTTCTCTCACTAAAAAAGGAATGAGATGAATGGGCTTCAGTGAATATGGAGCACATTTTCATGCTATTCTCACAGTTGATCATAGAAATATTTGTTAATGTAGTATTAATTAAAGCTTTTTTATAAAATTCTTACTATTTATACTTAATTATCATGTAACACAAGAGCAATGATGCATATATTTCTTAATATTTACTTCTTACATATTTTCTCTTAATACAATATTAATCTCTGGTCTTTCCCAATCTGCTGCTCATAAACACAGATGTTGCTGCTGTTGTTTTTTACTGTTGAGTCAGAACTGACTTGTAAGTGACCCTGCAGTGGGCATCAGAGGCAGTTAATCACATGGGAGGAGGCTGCCCATTCTTCTCCCACGGAGCAGCTGGTAGTTTTGTACCATTTGCCTTTGAGATTGAGCAGTTTCTTACCGCAGTACCATCAGCAGCCTGCTAAGAACTTTAAAAACTAGAATACAAATTTCATACAAGAGGAAATAGCCCCTAAGAGGAAAATATAATCAAATACTAAATATGTGGATTATGATAACTGATTGTGCTTCACACTTCAAATAATTTAATCAAGTACAATACAAATGATATTTTAATTATGTATAAGTTTATATAAACAGTACCCTAAGGTCTCTATATTAATACAGACAAACAAGACTTAACACACAAGTTTCTTAAATATATTTTCCAAAAGTAACATGAATTAATAAAAGAACAGTAATAGCAAAACAAGTCAATAAAAAAATATATTCATGCAAGGGGAACAGGAGTAGGAAGGCAAATAGGTGACAACCATGAATATATATGCAAGGTTGACAAAATGTCCTACATAAGCATTTTTATGTTTTGCAAGTATATGAATACAGTATGTAACTTTGCACAGGAAAAAGTTATAAAAACTTCATAGTCATAACTAAACATCTTGAGGGAATAACTCATTAGGCTTGGGAGACATCAAGGTCAAATGGAATAAAACAGTCCACAAAAATAACATTGTGCATCCTACCAGGGTAAGTACTGATTAGGGTCTAAAAAGCTTCTGAGCAGCCATTTAAGGTGCAATTGTTGGTCTATGTCCAGAGTGAAGAACAGTACAGACTAATAGACCATTCAAGCCTCAGATATGACAACTGTGTAATCCAGAGGGATGGTGCTCACTGACTGCTCTGAAATGGATTACAATGGGAGGCTGGGAATAGAGTAGAACACATGAAACAAACTTAGTAAAATAGGCCAGGCTCACTATTCTGGTAGAAACCTTGAGACTGTGGCCTTGAGATATCTTTCAAGCCTAAAAGCCAAACACATCCTCACAGCTCAACTTTCAAACAACGGATAGGCCTATAAGGTGAACATTAATGTCAGAGGGGTACAAATTCTTCAGAAAATGCATCTCTAGCAGATTAAAGAGCAGCATTTGTGTAAAGATAAAATTCATAAAGCAAGAAAAGACAGGTAAGAAAAAGTGAATGAAAAGTAAACATCAGGAGGAAGTATAAAAAAATGCTGTTGCAATGTGGGAATTCCAATCACCATCATACTAAAAATGTATATCAACTGCTGGATGGAAAACCAATTTTCTGTAAATTTTCACCTAAAATATAATAAAAGCTTAAAAAAAAAGTACTGCTATATCTAAAAAGGATACAACCACAGTACCATGTGAGAAAAGTGGTACTTCAAAATGGGATGGGAAGGATATTTGCAAGGATAGTTCAAATCATTCCAAACACCTTTACTCCTTGAAATCTGAACAGTTATACTGTATGTTAATAGTTCTTTTTTTTTAGGATTCTCATGTGAGACTTGATGATAGTAAAGATTGTTCAAGTAACAGAAATTTATACAATTGGTATTAAAATCATTCTATGGAAAATAGTTGTGACGATGGTTCTTCTGGCCTTTGCCTTAGCCTCCCCTGGAGGTGTGGCCCAACAGTCTCAACTGCAGCATCTTTTGCATCATCAACAGTTGTAGGATTATCATAAAAGGGAGAGCCGGCCATACTATGGAGAGAATGTGGTGAGGCCGAGCTTCACGGAGCCCTGGAGACAGAGCCAGGAGGGCTGGCATGAGACTCCTATGAGATGAAGCTTGTAGGATGACTGAGGAAACCACAGACTTATCTGTGTTGCTCAGTCTAAATCTAGACTCTCACTATGTGATAACCTTTGCCTTTTCTTGCCACCTCTCAACCTAATTCCTTAATAAACCCCACAACTTTTACATGAATATCAAATCCTGTGACTAGTAGAAGCAGGTACTTCACTATGGGGGACTATGTCTTACCCCGGGATTGGTTTTATATAAAAAATGTTATTGATGGGGACAGTTCTCCTTTGTGGAGATGGTACAGGTTAGACACGGCCTTCCCACATTACATTTGCCCCTTTTACAAAAGCAAAAATTTATTTACTGATTGAGCACACAATCATCTTAACAGAATTTTTATATAAATCTTACTTACTACGCAAATATTTCCCAACTTTAAGTGTGACACCCAATATTTACTTACCCCATATTGGTAAGTCATCTATATACATCTGGTACCAGTAGTGATTTTTTATAGCATACACAAATGCATCTCTCTTTTCTTTGTCTAAGTCAATTTCACAGTAAGTTGCTGGCATCACATCATCTGCATAAAATAAAAACCACAAATTATCCCATGGATTTGCAAAATAGTTAGATGGGGGGAAACACAGGGAAAGTCAACACTTTCTGAAGTTACAATTTATACTCACAAGAGCTAAGTTTGGTTGATTGTTGTATGTGGATTCAGTTGACTTTCTTTTCTGTCTTTTGATTTTAAGATTTTTACATTAAAATGAGTTTAATTATTTTTCTTTTCAAAGACAACTTAGGTGGAAAAATTTTATATCCAGGAAATTTTACAAAGTAGTTTTACAATGTATAAAATGGATTTTTTTCCCCAGAAAACTTAAAAACATATTTTAAGTTTTCACTTAATATATAGAGAAATTCAAAAGCATATTCTCACCCAGTTGTTTGGGGCTACTGAGTCGAATCAGACTCATAGAAACACTATGAACAACAGACTGAAACTCTGCCCTATCCTGCATCATCCTCACAATCTCCATTTTAACTCAGGGTAAGACCAGTTGATACAAGTCATAACTTCTATGAAGAATCTCAGTGACTTCTTCATTCATAGAACAAAAATTTAAAAACCTCAATCCAGCAGGTGTCACTGTCTATAAATGAACCCAAAGGCCCCCAAAGAGAAATCTCTCCCATTTCTGACCACTTCCAAAAATAAAATAAAAACTCACTGCCAGGGAGCTCTGGTGGCCTAGTGGCAAGAAGCTGCACTGCAATCCCAGAGGAACACGGTTCAAATCCACCAGATGCTCTGCTGGAGAAGGAGGCACAATATCCTCCTGTACCAGTCAGATCTGATTTGATGGTACACGCACACAAAATTTAAAAAAAAAAAAAAAGGGGGAGCTCTGGTGGCCTAGTGGCAAGAAGCTGCACTGCAATCCCAGAGGCGCATGGTTCGAATCCACCAGATGCTTTGCCGAGGAAGGAGGGACAATCTCCTCCTGTATCAGTCAGATCTGATTTGACGGTACACGCACACACACAAATAATAAAATTTTAAAAAAAAAAAAACCACCTCACTGCCATCAAGTCAATTCTGACTCACAGTGAACCGCCACTGAGTGGGTGTCCATGGCTGTAACTCTTCATAGGAGGAGAGGGGCCATCTTACTCCCACACAGTGCCTGGTGAACTTGAGCCAATGACCTTATGGTTAGCAGCCTGACAAATTACACTTCACACCATCAGAACTCCTTTCAAAATTACCATTCACCCAATTTATTCATTGCCATCAAGTCAGAACTGACTCACAGCTGACCCTTCAGGTATAAGGCTAGAAATCACATGGGAGAAGATGATCTTTCTCCCAAGGGTAACTGGCGGGTTTAAACTACCAGAGAGGAGCCACCTTTGGGTTATCATAGCAATTCCTTACTAGCAGAGATCTCGAAGATCAAACAGTAATGCAATCCAGATGGTCTCTAACTTGGAAGCCACTAGTATTTCAAAAAGGTGCCTATGGTCACTAGTTTCTAATCAAAACAAAGCAAAAACCTGCAATTACACGAAATGTCCCTCAAAAGAAAAAAAAACCAAACCCCAAACAAAAAATCAAAACCAAACAGAGCACAGTTCTTTGTTTCTAAATTCTCCCTTATGCATTATTGCTTATAAATAGTAATTTTTTCTAAAAAAGTTCAACCTCTGAAACACTGATTACAATTCAAATGTGTAATTTCTAAACTATAAATAGCTATTTCCATAAGAAATGGCAATCTGAGTTCCAACTCAAGACATGAGTAGCACGTCTCCCCAGGTGATTTTCCTTATTATAGCCCAGCCCAGAGTGAGTGTCTCAACCATCAAAGATGGCAAGCAACACCAAAATCCCAAGAACAGGAGCAAGGAAACACTCCTGCTCCCAGAGCAAAAGAAACTGGCTAGCACTCCAACAACAAGGACTTCCACACACATTTTTCTTTCTACCCAGGTCTTCTATGACAGCAAAGAATTTCGGCTTATCATAATGGTAAAAACAAAACTGAGCAGTAAAAAGAAGGCTTAGGAAATAAGGTTGCTATAAATGGTTGCAAATGCAGCAGAGTCTAGGAGATCTGGCAGCAAAAGGTCTCCAAATGGAAGAAACCCCATGGAGTTGGATATGGGGGGGAAAAAGGCTGCCAACAATTACAACTACAGGACCTGGTCAAACCAAAGAAAGGTCTAGGATTCAATCAATAACAAATGGCTATGGTGGTTTGGGGAGATAGGACAGTAACTTTTGCAAAAACAATGAATTTTCTATTATTATGGGGATTTCTGAGAACAGCTATGGAAAACAGCTTTTTACATGTTACATTGCCAACCTGGAAGTTGGCAGTTCAAGCCTACCAGTTGCCCCAAGAAATACAGACAGGCAATCACTTCCTGAAAAGTTTTACAGCCTTGGAAACTGATGAAGAGTTTGCTATGAGTCATATTTGGCCCGAAGCCAGTAGGTTTGGGTTTTTGGGTTTGTCTGGGTTTTTTTAATGAGGTTTTGTGGGGTTTTTCGGATAAAGAGCTATAAACTACAACTCACTAATTATAGTCATAAACAACTTGGTAAGTTTTAAGTATGGGGTTCTAAGACAGACAATATGACATTTAATCAAAATGAGTTTAAAAGGTTAATGATTCTTCAAGGCCTGTTCAATTCTCTTTCTTAACCAATTATCCTATTATCCTCGCTCTGATCACCCTACACCCCAAACTCAACTCCTGCAATTCCATAGACTGTGACCTCTAAACTTTTTTGCTTATGCTGTTATCTCCACCTGAAATGTCCATCCAAAAATCATCTCTTCACCTTGAACTCAGTTTCTCCTCCAGAGTGACCCTGAATTCCCTTCCAGCTTCCCTCTCTCACACAACAGTCAGCTGTATTCTCTGCAGTTACCCCTTATTGTCCTTATTTACTCAGAACAATGGCCCATACGTCTACAACACTTTTTACCTCTTAGCTCCTCAAAAGAGAACATCAGATCTCGAGCGCCATATCTTTAATTATACCCCTTTTACCCTCAGCCATGACTGTGAGTGTCTTACAGAGCGGGCACTAAAGAAAGAAAACATTTTATCTTCTTTTTTAGGTCCAAATTAACAAAGAAGTTTTGAAGAATACCTTCCACTGATATGAAATCCAGAAAATGAAAAATCTATTAACTATAATGGGTTGTAAAAAAGGCCAGGTTGGTCATATTTGAATGAAATTCCTCTTCTAGGCATGCACATAAATACAAACATCACAAATAACTCAAGAGTCTGTTATACAACTGAAATAGCACTGCTCTCAGGAGGAAGCTTTGATAATAGCGAAGGTATTGCATCTGAATATACTAAATCCTACCCAGAAATCTACCTCAAATTCAGTTGTACTTGGCAAGCCTCTCATGAAATTACTATCAGCTCATTAATAGAGATACGGACAAGAAGTCTGAGTTTTAGTCCCAATTCCCTTTTTTACTAGCTCTGTGTTCTGAGAATAAAAGCAAGTCATTTAACCTCTGTAAACCTCTCAGTTCTTTCAGGAATAAATTAGAGAGAAATGACATCTATGCTATCTCCAAGCTATCTCCTTTCCAGAGCTGTTTTAAGGATTGAAGTACTAATATATTCAGTGTTCTTAAGTTTCTGTGGACCATATAACCCTCTGAGAATCCAGTAAGAGTTATGTTTCTGGTCTTCTCAAAATGCATTCACATAAAATGAAACCTATGACTTAAGAGGGGACATTAATCCCTCAAGCTAGAATTCCTGGTTCAGTGTTGTATACCTAGAGTCCAGCACAGTGCTGGCAACATGACACTCAATAACTGTTAAATGATATAAAACATACACTAGAAAAATAAGTATATTCTGTTAATTAAACAATAAATACATAAAATATTGGTTAACTCACCAATCTGACTAGCAATATAAACATTACACCTCTTTCTAGACGAATAGTTGGCAAAATATATTAAAAATTGCCCTAAAAACCTTTATAATCTTTGATTTAATAATTCTACTTTTAAGGATTTATCCTAACAAAAGATCCAGAGATGTCAAGATCCAGAAAAATCCAGACCTGCTAAGACAGCCAATCAAATATATTTTTATTTCTTATAGCAAAAAAAAAAAAGAAACAGAAAAGAATTAAAGTATCTCTTAATAGGAAAATGGGGGAAATCATAGTATATCCAAATTACAAAATGCTATGTTTTAAATACACAGTTTTAAAGAGTATTAACAATATGAGAATAAACTCATGTTTTTTAAAAAAAGCAGATTAAAAAGTAGTATTTTATAATACATTGTTGCTGTTATATGCTGGTAAATCAGAACTGATTCATAGCTGACCCTCCAGTGGGTTTTCAGAGGTTGTAAATAGCACAGGATATTGTACACCTTTCTCCCAAGAAACAGCTGATGGATTCAAACTGCATGCCTTTGGGTTGACAACACCATTCCTTATCATCAAGCGACCGTAACATATTATTAGTGTTTGTTAAATAATGGGAAAATTAGAGTGTGTGTATCACAACCCCAATTTTTTAAAAAAGTTGAAAGTGAATTAAAAGAAAGTAAAAGAATATAAACCAAATGTTAATAGCAACTATCTTCAGTGATTTTGCTTTTTTTTATTTGTCTGTAGCGTCTAAACTTTAAACAGAGAACCTGTTTTATTATTAAAGTCACATCCTCCAGTGGTTTTCTAAAGTTTTCTAAATAGAACCAGACTACCTCATCTTTCTCACAAGGAGCGGTTGGTGGATCCAAATTGCTGACTTTTAAGTTAGGAGTTCAACATGCCATTAGGGCTCATGTGATATTATTAGAATTGGAAATGTACAGTCAACGTAGAGAAAAACAATATTATCTGGCTAGAAAAGGATGTGGAGAAACAGCTCATGCTTATTGAATATAATCTTTGCAATTGGCACAAAGTTTAAAAAACTGAAAAATTTAAGATTGAAATTAGTCTGCCTAAAACAGTTTGGTTGAAATTAGGACACTGCATCAAATTCTCAAACCTTCCATTAAACAAGGCAT